TTTACATTTTCTGCTGAACAGGTGATTGTTTTAGGTGGGATTGATTAAACAACCTACCAATCAATCTTGGTTGTTTGGTATAAACACAGGGTTGCATATCTCATATTTAAATAGCAAAATTGGCTATTTAAGTGTAGACTAAATGTATGATCTGAAAAAGAATAGTGGAAATTAATCAACAATCTCTACTTAAGTACGCCATCAGAAATCGGGCCTAACAGTTGCTAAATTTGAAAACTATTACACATTCTTTTAGGCCTTCAACACATACTCCTATAATAGTTATCTGCCCTTTCGCTAGTTTTTTTCAATGCATGCAAAAAACGAGTTAGGCATCATGTTATCCAAAATGTGCGTGTTGATCTTGTCACGCAAATGAAGGGACCTAAAGTTCTAGGTCGCCTCCGAACGGCAAATGGTTTTTATGAGAAGCGATTTCTTGGCAGAAGAACACTCGAAGGTTTGAAAATGCGATGACCGCCGACCGGGAATTGCGTAGAGCAACATTTGCTGGAACTTTATGTGTTCCTAAAATAAATTTGAAAAATTTATTGAAATAGTAACTCTTCTGACTATGAATTTTTGAGGAAAGTTATCCCTTTTGACTATTTTAATAAAAATATTTAGCAAAACGAAGAAAGGTTTAACATTTTAACAGGCAGGAAAAACTTAAGCAATTTTTCTTAAATTTAGGCAAAACAGCAACGCTGACGCGGAGCTCTAATAAGCGGTCAATTTTGATGTTTTTTTCAGTCTGATGTTGACTCTTGCGCATGTACATATGTATATGTACTCAAGTACATACGTCCATATCTAAAGATGTTTTCTTTTCTAGAAAAATTTCTCCGTCTCCGTTGCCCTCTTCTTGCTTGAGCGAGACGGGCAATAAGATTTGTCGAAAGAAAAGAGAACACCATAAATATGAATTTATTTACCATTCATTTTGTTGTTATCGATTCAAGTACAAGCATTATGTCGTTTAGGAACCTGCAATTTCAATTTTTTAAATTTGGACTTTAAGATTATTTTTTACGAACATAGGCGGACAAAAAGTAAGTGACCATCGGTGTCCGCATATGGGACCTTTCACTGTATGTTCATCAGTTATCAACGGTCCCGGTTAAAATGATTTCAGTATTTTTTTAAATTTTGGCTGCGCTTTTTTATCAATAGACTACCTAAACCTATGCTTAAAACCATGTTACGCATATCAAAACCACTTGCAACAAAAGTACGTACATACACACTTAAGTATGTATCCATATAGGTACATGGCCGCCCATCAAAACCAGCGTGACCAAAACTGCAACCCAAACGCAAATTTTATGGTGTTACTAACCCACCTGTAATAATTTTTGATTGGAGGGCCATCTATTGTTTTTCCGTGCCAGCTATCTTTCACATATGTGTAAGTAGTTAAGCTAATCTTTTCACATATGAGCAAGCAGGCATTTGGTTTGAAAAATCACACGTACACAAAACTTCTGGGAGCATTTTTGATTCACTATTAAGGGCCGTTTTCACCAACTCTGGTAAACACTAATCGCCAGTTAAACATCGTTGCCGATGTTACCGACACAATGTAATACGCATGGAGTCAAGTAACGTCGGCAACGATGTTTAAATGGCGATTAGTGTTAATCAGATTTGGTGAAAACGGCCCTAAGAGTGTGATAGCAAAACGTGCCGAACTTAGCGGGCACGCGTGACGGTCACGTCACTAGGAAAGTGACCGTAACTCTTCTTGCTGGGCGTATACATGCGCGGAGATTGCTTAACCGGAAGTCAAAATCGTTTGTACTGCTTTTCCTCTTATTCTGCATATGCTTAAATGCATATATGTAATACTCTTATATTGGCAGTAAGAGCTAGTACCGTCCGAAAACACTACAGTACAGATATGTATATCAATAAACACGTACGAAAGAAAAGGAACACATACGTTTATAAATAAACATGTACACAACACATATACAACAAGTAAGAAAGTCTAAGTTCGAGCGGAGCCGAACATTAGATACCCGGCGCAAGTTTTAAATATATGTTTTTCACCTTTCCGAAAGCTACCGATACATGGTAAGCCGGGGTGTATCAATTTCGAGTAAATTAGCGTCCTTAAATTTCGAAATATTGAAGTTTCAAGCATTTCTGAAATTTACCGTTATATGAAAAGCGGCCGTAATTTTAGTCCGATTTCAATAATTTTCAACATTTTGTTTTTATGTGGCAAGCACAATAACCATACCGAGTTTGGTACAAACTGGTAGAACGGTTACCTAGATATATATATGTGATAATAAAAGGGCGGTGCCACGCCCATTTTCCAAAATTTTATCATAAACGTATTTCCTGGTGAAGAGTTGTTGCAATTATCAATTTTGTATAAATTAGCTTTAATATTTACTGATTTATCGAAGATTTTGTATTTCTCTAAATTACCGTTATATAGGATGTGGGCGTGGTTACTGCCCGATTTTAAAAATCGGGTATTTGATATGGTGTACTAAGGCCAACAACTGTGCCAAGTTTGGAAGAAATTGGTGCAGCGGTTACCAAGATATACACATGTAACCATAAGTTGGCGTGGCTATGCCCAGTTTCCAAAAATTTATAATATTCTTATTTTTCGTCTACAATTTATGTTAAATATCAATTTTGAGTGAATAATCTTCAGTAGTTACTAAAATATCGCACTTTTCGTATTTCTGAAAATTACCGTTATATGGGAAGTGGGCGTGGTTACAGTCCGATTTCGCCCATTTCCAATACCAACCTACCTTGGATAAATGGAAACCCACATACCAAATTTCGTTGAGATATCTCAATTTTTGCTCGAGTTATCGTGTACACGGACGGACGGACAGACGGACGGACAGACAGACATGGCTTAATCGACTTCTCTATTCATTCTGAGCATTTATGTATACATTTGTCTATATCTATCGCGATTCGTTCTGGCTGTTACAAACAACCGTTATGTGAACAAAATTAATATACCCTTGTGCACAAGTGCGCTCGGGTATGAAAACGGCACTCAAGTACGCAATACATTGACAAAAACGGTACTATATTGTTACTACGTTTATACGCACGTATTATTTGCAAATAACAATTTGCGAAATGGTAAACTTTGCCGTATAAACACGGAGTTAATTTTTTATTTGCAAATAACTAAATCACGCAAATAAGTATTGATTAGTGGTACTATTTGCAAATAAGCGCAAGACGCCGCCATTCTTAGGTTTATTTTATTTTTCGATGGTCATCTTATTGCCTTTTTATAATCAAGACTTTGCCATTTTTAAATTTATTTTAATTTTCGATGGTCATATTATTGCCTTTTTATAGTCAGGCAATATTAAATAAGAATTTTTCGCCGTCGAATAGACAGTGAGCTTACGTATAAACGTGGTATGTCTCGCTTTGATTTCGGAATGCTCACTCATTGAGAAGTTAGCTTACTGCCAATATAGAAGTATTACATAGATGCTTAAATGTATGCAACCATTTGCAATAGCAAGTAAACACAGGGTGCTTCTAATGAAATTAAACATTTTCTGCTGCCCCTCGAAATTTTCTGCTGGGCTATGCGTTACTGCTTCGCAAATTTTACCCCTACCGAAACCAAAGATGTATATCTACGCATCAAAAAATCATGAAATACAACCGAAACAAAACCTAGTTTAAGTTGTAAGTATGGCCGAGTACAATATGAAAATAGTTCCTGAACCTTTTATACAAAAAAAAATACGTTACTTTCGTACTTGATGCGCTTATCTATTAATAGCTTGACTATTTTCCATCCAATTTTGCAAATCGAATAAGTTTTGAAAAGAGGATTTATAGATCTTTAAACAGCTTTTGAGTATTGCGGCTAAGGAGTTCAATATTTACTCAAAATTGATATATACAATAGCTCTTAAGCAATACAATTTATTTTTCATAAAATTTTATGAAAATGAGCGCGACACCCCTCACATATATCATATATGCGTATCTCAAAAACTATTGGACTGATATCGACTAAATTTAATATACTCATTGGGCTTGGCCTCTTTAAACACCGTGTTAAAATCGGATTTAAAATAATCAAGCTATTAATAGATAAGCGCATGAAGTACGAAAATAACGGTTTTTTGGTATTAAAAAATGGAGGGTTCAGGAATTATACCCGACCTATTTTCGTGTTGTACTCGATCATACCTACAACCTGCACTAGGTTTTGTTTCGGGTGTATTTCATGACTTTTTTGATGTGTATACATCTTTGGTTTCGGTAGGGGTAAAATTTGCGAAGCTGTAACGCATAGCCCAGCAGAAAATTTCGAAAGGCTGAGCATGTGTAATGCAGCAGAAAGTTTTTAATTTCATTAGAAGCACCCTGTGTTGACTTCCTATTACAAAGGCTTGCATACATTTAGGCATAT